TCCACATTGCTACAGTTAAAAATTACCTGTATCGGGGGACTGCCTATAAGAGTTTAAAACAGAAATACATGAACCCAGGGAAGATATATTGAGACAACGGGAAGGGATACAAGATAAAATAAAAGCTGGCAAATGTCAGGAAGGAAGTTAAAACAGAAAAAGAAGTCAAAAGCAAGCAGCCTGAACATGGCCAAACACTCATTCAAGGACTGTTTTTATCTCGTTTCGGTCAGTTTTCTCAAATTGGGGATGGAATGAAATAATGTCTCTCTTTTTGTCTTTCTTGTCTCTTATACATTCTGGGTTCTGAATGAAGAGCACCAACACAATGAAACTGAAATAAAACATGTTTCAAGAGATGTCACAGGAAATTTTGAGAAATTAAAAAAGAAGGAGAAATAATCTACTGAATGACAGACTCATGTTCCTAGCAGAAGTAATAACACAGGATGCCAAGCATAAGGTACACACTAATAAGAAACTGGCATTCAAATGTAGAGGGGAAAGGACTTTTTGTTATCAAAAGTAACGAAAATAGCAACACCTCCCCCCACACACCAACACCCCCTCAAAAAGAAAAGACCGAACAAGACATCTAAAGAAGGAAATCTCAGACTGGCCTGACACTGTAACTTTCAGGAAGTTAATGGAGCCACATTCTCACAGTAAAAAATAGCACGTCAATTTTAGCCCCTGAGAAATTATATGCAGGCATAGAGGGCTAAACACCTTCCCAATATTCAAGGGTTAGCTAGCCCTGAAGACATTACTAAAGGACAAACAAACTTCAGACAACCAAGAGCTAAATGGTGGGGACAGTTGCCCACACACATCTGTAAAACTAAGATCAAAATATAAGATAAATGCAGGGCTAACGGGCAGAGCAGAATGCACGTGCTCTAAATGTCTTAGCTGATGGAGAAGCGCTGGGAAAGGGAGCAGGGCGGAGGTCACAAAGGTTCATGATGTTTTTTCACCTTTCTTCAGCAATGCTTCATAAAATATTTAGGTCTAAAAGAATTATATTTTAAGATAGTAAGGCAAACACCAGGAAATAATACAGTCAGTCAAAACTGGGTAGTGGAAGAATTAAACAGAGGGAAGGAAACACACTAATTGTCTAATTGCTCACAGGAGGAAATCAATAGATGTACAAAAATAGAAGATTCAGTATGTTATACATTTGGTTCTTAAAGTGAAGCAGTTAGAAGAAACACGCAGATATTCGACATCACCAAAGGAACACAGGCAAAGCAAAGAGAACAGACTGTATAATAATAGTTAAAGAAAAAGTTTTTGTAATTGAACATTAAACACACACGGTCAGAACCAAGGTACAGGTGTCCTAGCTACCAACGCAAATGCCAAACTCACCTGTGAGGAGGGAAGGGCTGATTCAACACCAGTGGCTAACTAGTCTTATTTGTGCCTATTTATCTGCAATCCTCTGCTATTGTTTCATTCAATGCCAATCTTGGGTATTTGATCGTTGCAAATAATAGTATTTAATTTGTGTTTATTTGGTGATTAATAAAACCTGGAGTGTATTTTTTGCACTATTTTAGGCATAATTAATCCTTGCTTTCCTATTTTATTGATAGTAAAACCTGAAGTCCTTAAGACAGGCTTCAAGGGCCTGTGGGATCCAGCACCCCACCACCTTTCTGACCTTATCTCTCAATGCTCAGTTAGGGTCTCATTTGCTGGCTCCTACTCATCTCCCCAAACCCTTCATACAGGATGCCCCAGGGGCCCAGTGCTGGTATTGTTTCTCTTTTCTGTCTATACGAAAGTCCCTTGATGACTTCCGTATGCTGACAACCTTCCAGTTTATACAGTCAGCCATGACCTCCCGGACCACCCTTGCTCTTGAATGCAGCCTCTCATCTCTAACTGCTCAATCCACATGCCCATGAGGGCTCAAGGGAGCTCCGGCCCAACACACTTGGCTCCCTGCTGACTGTACTGTCGTCTGCTACCCCATTCCTTGTTCCCAATTGATAAGGCCTCCTTAGTCCTCCTAATAAAATGGCAAGACCTTTTGGGGCCCCAACATTTGTACTATGTGATTTATTTTTATCCACAACACTTGTCATCACCGGATATATTCTGTGGGTAGATAAATAGATAATAGTAAAGGAGAGAGATAGAGAGCAAATGTTCATATGATAGAATCTTTGGAGTGCTGGACACTCGAAAGTAAGTGACAAAAGAAATCCTCCCGGCAATCTATGAAGGAGGTGCTGCAAGTATCTTCTTTTTATAGATAAGTGAAGTGCAGCTCAAGGTCACACAGCTGAGTGTGGCAAGCCACAGGCTCAAGAGCTGCTGGTCATCAGGCTCTGCCCAACATGCCCCGATTAGCATTACACTTCACAGCTTTTCATATCTCTGTGTGTGTATGTGTGTGTATTTTTTTTCCCCTGATCCCCACTAGACTTAGTTTTACTAAGGCAAGAACTTTCTCACGTTCACTATCCTAACCACTGCTCATAGAACAGGGGCTTCACAGATACCAGGTAAGGAACCCCATATCCCTTTTAAACAAAATGAAAATGATGCTGATTGAAAAAAATAACACCTCTACTTGCTTCCAGTATAATAAATGAAATAAAAATTTTTCAGGGGAATTATTTTTTAAAATATTAGTTATCTGCCCGTAGAGTTATTGAAAACTTCACACCACACAAGGAAAACAAATATTGGAGATTTAAAATTTTAAGTCATGTTTCCCAGAAATAATTCTGCCATGTTCATCATTATATACAGCTTTAGCATTGAGGAAGGGGCAATCAAATTGGTAAATTCATAAATCATTCCTGCGCTTCTATTAAAAAAAAAAAAAAAAACCTTCTCTAAAGAGGATAAGAAAATAGCCTTATGTGGTATTTTAGTCAGCTTTGCATTGCCATAACCAATAGACCTGAGGAAAAGGTTATTTTGGTTCAAAGTTTCAGAGGTTTAGTCCTGGGTTGGCCAAAACCACGTCTCTGGGTCTGAGATGAGGCAGAACATCATGGTGGAAGTATGCAATCAAGGAAAGCAGCTCAGAATATGGCAATCAGGAAGTAGAGAGCTCCTGCTCACCAGGGATGAAATATAAACCCTAAAGGCACAGACATACTTCCTCTTGCCTCACCCTTCCTGCCTAGAGTTACCACCTAGTTAATCCATATCAGTGGATTAATCCACTGATGAGGTTACAGCTCTCATAATCATTTCACCTCTGAGCATTTTTGCATTGTCTCACACATGAGCTTTGCGGGGGACACCTCATATCTAACTATAACACATGGGGACCATAACAATGGGAATGGAATGAAAAGAAACATCTGAGAAATAACTGAGTGGAACCAGCAGAGGCAGTGGATTCACTCAATTTTACAACATATTCGTGGGTTTCTACTTTGAGTGACCTAGTAGAAGATCATGTCAGGGGGTCAAGTTGGTTTTACATTCCTGTGGAATATACAGATTTGGATATTGAGGTGGCTATTAGATATTGATGTCTACAGTGCATGAGACTCACTGAGTTGAAAGTCATCCATGAGACTGCTCAGGCAGAGAATCCTGGGTGCAAAGGGAAACAGGCCAGAGGTAGAAGTCTGGGGAGCAGTGAATAGCATTGTGTATTTTGCAGTGTACGTGTTCAATAAACAACTGTGATTAAGATAATGAGAGTGATAATGATCTGCCAGGATTTAGAGAAATGATCCTGAGATTCTGGTTTTTAAATCAAGCTGAGACACAGGGATTTTTTTTTTCCCCTTGAAGTCACACAGACTTCCGCTTTCATTCCTTCCTTCAAATTGGTTTCTGAGTGTTTGGATACTTTTTGTGTATTTTACTAGACCTTAAAAAAAAAATCCACGCAACTAATTTGTAGGATGGAGTAACTGCTGCACCAAAAATCTATCTACATGACAAGTGTTCGATGAGCAATGAGTACCCTGATTTGCAAAGACATCCTGGTAGGGCCAAGAGCGAAGAATAAAATGTCGTGTAAAATACTCCCTGCCCTAAGTGTAAAAAGCAATTTGGAAAGAAGGAAACAAATACATTCTGATTTAGGAAGCAATGGCTCCAAATGGCATGTGTGCTAGAGAGACCACAGCACTGCAAGAGTGGGCAGGAGGGAGGAAAGTTCATAGAAAGTCTCAGGGGAGAAAGTGTGGGCTGCACTTTCAGGTCAGGAGACAGAAAAAGAAAGCCATTCAGATGCTTAGGTCTGAGCAAACACAGGGAGCTGCCAAAGTTCAGGTTTCCTGTGGGAAATAGTTTACAGAACAACTGAGAGGAGAATGATGGAGAAATGCAAGGTGGTTATCAAAGCCCAGGTTTGATCTGTCACATGCACAGTGTCAGTCATCAGGTGGAGCATCACGTGTAATTCTCCCTCATTCTTGTTCTACTTTGTACTTCCTTCAGTACATAGTAAAACTCAAAGCACAAAACAAAGATTCCTTTGCATGTCTGATATTGTGAGTTCCACCTGGTTTTCTCTATGGGATCTGGGACTTGGATGTTTGCAAGGGTAGTAAACAGTGGGAAGAGAGGGGGAAATTTAGTGAGTTCTTGATTTTTCCAGAAAGAAAATCCTAGAGAGGCTAAATGTACTGTGGATTTTCATTCCCAAGTTTGACAAGTCACTTTGGACAGAAATAGAATGCAACACTGATAAATTACTTAAAGTCAAAACCCATTAGACATTTGACTTTAAATAACCTCAAACCCCAGCCCAAGACCTAATCATTTCAAGAAAATTCTGTTAGCATGAAATGTCAATCCAACCAAGGGTTTTAGTGGGCCCCTTAAATACCTTGGGCTATGTAATATCTTTGTCTTGCATCAGAGGCCTGGAATATTTCAAGGGGGCTTGGGCCCCTCAGTGAAGGAGGGATAATGGCCTAACTCCCACATCCTCACAACCTCATTTCCCAGCCAGCAGCCAGCTTCTCTCACATAGTCTCTTCCTATGTGGCTGCACTATCTGTACTCACCTGAATGAAGATATATTCGTCCTGGACAACCAGAGAGCTGATGTCAATGGAGCGGGCAAAGGGACCACTCCGAGTTGTCTCTGCACATTCCTGGATCCTGCAGGTGAGGTAGTGAGCATCTGAAACAGGAGGACAGAGCAATGCTTAGACACAGGGAGAAATGGTGAGCTGAGCTCCCATCAGCACTCCAAGCTCTACTTCATGGGAATCCATGATGTAAGTTAAAATAACCGTGAGTGCATAAAATTTGAAATTATTTTTTAAAAATGTCAATACCTAGAGTGGGGAAAGAGTTAATCACATAGTCTACTGGCAAAAGAGTAAATTGGTATAGTTTTTGGAAGAATGAATTTGAAGTACCTATTAGAATTTTACATGTCCATATTTTATGCCAGCAATTCTAATTCAAGGGATTTTCTTTTTCTACAGAAATATTCATATATTTTCACAGAGAGGAAGGGCAAAGATGTTCATTGTGGCATTATTCAGAGAAGGGAAAATTGAAAACAGGCTAAATATCTATGAATTAAAAAACATTTAAATAAACTAAGTTGCATACATATGACAGAGTGCCAGGGGGAAATTGAAAGATTAGGCTGATACACATGCACCCACATGCACTTCTCCAAGATGCACCTGTCTGCAATCTTTTGAGAAACTATTTAGCATTATATTTAGCATGATCCCACTTATGGTTTTAAAAAAACTCTTGTCTTCATAGATATATACTTCTATGCTATAAATGCATAGAAAAAAATTTAAATGGTACATATAAAAATTAACTATGGTTACTTTGGGGAAAAGAATGGACTTAAGGAAATAGAACTAGAGTGGGGACTTGATTTTCACCTTGTGCACACCTTTATTATTTTTATAGAAAGAATGCAATCCTTATTTCTTATGTAAAATCCTTAAATCTTATGTAATTACCCACAAAATCTTCTATAGATCTCACAGCTGATCACTTTCAATCCCCTCATGGTGGCAGTGGTAGCTGAATAGGAAAGCCTGGACCTCAAAGGTGTTCTGTTATGACAAAAGGGTTGCCCCCGAAAGACAATCCATTGGGTTATTTGGTCCCTAAGAAACACTACAGATGATTCTCTGTGAAAAAATACTGTGTAAATTTGCTTTAAAAGTGATTATTGCTCATTTCCTGGAATTTAGAAGCAGATGGTCCAAATGAAACATAGAGATCATTTGAAGATTGAAAGTGAGGAAATCTTTATCATCTAAAGATAAAAATGCACATGCATTATTGTATGCATCTATCTAATGCAACTGGTTCCTTGGATGTATGTATTTGATTGTGTAAGTGTCAGAGGCTACAATTCAGGGGCTGGTAGGCAGTAGAGACAAAGAGCAAAGGCTTGAATAAGAAAAAAATTGCAGTGATTGAGTTAAAATAAGGGTAGATTAAATTATTCCTGTTTAACTATAATTAATTAATTAAATGAATAATTATTTCTTGTGCACATACTATGTACTAGGCATCACTGACATACTAGGAATATATTAATTAATGAGACAGATTTTTCTATTCTAAGAAAGCCTGGTATCTAGTAAGGGGCTTACTTCTATTTATGTTGCTAGCTATTACACATATTAATTTATAAACGTGATACTAATTTAACAAATAAACATTTTGGTGGGAAATGCTACATAATATGCTATGCATTCCTGCTTCTTGAGGGTTCTTATTTGAGCAAAGTCTATTTGCTTTGGTAGTCACAATCCAAATATGTCTAACTAACATTTATTTCATTCTCTCCATCAGCAGACCTACCATCTGCCAGTAACCTTAGCCCCTTAACTTTTCTTTCTTTCACATTCCCTATAATACAATTGGTTCTGAAGCCTGGGCAGTCAGGCCTCTGAAGCATGTCCAGATTATCTCCCCTTCAGTTTATTATCTGTGCCTCTTGCTGAGAACACACTCTTCTCACCTGTGTTGCCTAGTGTCCTCATGACAAGGGTTCATGTGGATGTGTGCTTGGAAGCCAGAAGGGCCAGGGAGGACCAGCTAAAGTCACCTTTAAAACCTAAGCCTCAGTTAATGTTTCCCATTGCCAAAATCACCAAAAGTTCTGAGAACCACAGGACAAGACCTAGATATCTTTCTATGAAAACAGAAGGCCTTTGATAACTACTCTAATAAATGCAAATGCCCAAGGTGCCAAGCAAATTATGTGTAAGAGATGAGCCACAGTAAGCTAAACCATGGTGGCTGGTTCATGGTTTGGCTTGAGGAACACTAAGGCACAGAAAGGATCACCATGAAAGGATAAATACTTGCTCATTAAGGGACAGCTCCAGTTCATCATTGACATGCAGGTATAAAACCTTCTGAGTTTTACAAGTGAAGATAAGTATCTCTGTTTTTAATGCAAAATTTACTGATTTCAAAAAGTTAGCCAGGCCTGGTGGTGTACGCCTGTAATCCCTGCTTGCTCCAGAGGCTGAGGCAGAAGGATTGAGAGTTCAAAGCCAGTCTCATCAAAAGTGGGGCACTAAGCAATTCAGTGAGACCCCGTTTCTACATAAAATACAAAATATGGCTGGGGATGTGGCTCAGTGGTCGAGTGCCTCGAGTTCAATCCAAGTATGAAAAGCAAAAAAAAAAAAAGATAGTGTGTTAGAAAATTTCAGTTTACTCATTACCCTTTATGCTACATGCATTTCATTTAACTTTGCTGTAACACATATTGTATATATACTGGTCAAAGGAGCTCTAATTTTATAATATCTATTCTGTATATATTAAAGAGGTTGCCCATGTAGGACAAAAATAGAGTTAGTAAACTAACACATTTTGAATATTTTGTGTTAAAATTCATGGAAAGGCAATCTTCTGAAAAGGATTTTTGGAAGCGATATTGTAATATCATATCTGAGTGACACATGTTCCTGTATCACATGTGAAATAGGCGGGAAGGAAATGGAAGAAGATTCTAGGCTAGAATGATCTTACTTATAAGACACTTTCATATATAACACTCATTACACATGTGTAGTGTATTCAGCACTCCTATGTACAAACTTAAGTCCTTATTTGGAACATCTTAATCTTTTAGATGTTTAGAAATGCACAAAGTATGTTAAAATTAGAGGCAGAAAATTAAAAAAAATTGTAGGAAATTGACAGCTAATTTGCATTTTCAGTATGGCGCAAGACAACACCATAAGGCCAAACAAACAAGTCTATAGTCCAAATGAGACTCAGGGATCCACTTATTTCCAACCTCTCAGTAATTTGATCCCAATCTATCTCTCCAGGGAAGAGAAGACCTTCTTAAGCATTCTCCAACCCTGCAGCAAGAACAGCATGCCCAACATTCTCTAAGTATGGCAGGCAGGTGTCTCTTTCTTTGTTTTTGTGCACAGAGAAAGCCAAGAGTGGCCTGGCTTTCCACCCTGGCTGAGAGGAGAGAGAAGGCAGGGAGCCCAGGCTCTGCTTTGGAGCACACTGCCTGCCCACCAGGGATATTCTTGGACCTGCACAGCCCTACTAATTTGCTCCTAGAATAAAGCACCAAAGCACAACAAAACACTGCAGTAAATACGTGTAAAGAAACCACAGATGTTGACATGACAACCTGTGTCCTTGTTGTCATTGTCTCAGAAAGCTTCTTAAACTGGTAATCAAAGGTGCACACAAGGACACAAGGGGACACCTGCTTATTCCCCACACACGGGCTCATTCTCCACATGGCTATTTCCTATTGTGTCTCTCATTTGCACACTTTGAAAAAAGAATGAGGGGTATTCAAGACCACCCCAAACAAAATCAAATCCTACCTAAACTTTGGCTCATGGCAAGTGGGATCTTGTGCCCAACTCATCCTATTTCTTGGCATTCTCTCAGTCTGCCACTGCCCAGCATGGAATTAAAAGTCCAATTTAACAGGAAAGCAGCACTAAAATGGTTTCTGAAATCTACTTAAAATTCAGGGGCCATGCAGTCTTTAGCTGGACTCAAATATTCAAAGTCTCAATGTTTTTATTTTTCAAAACACAGAGATATGATAATAAGTACCATGGTGCCCACTGCCTGATGAGAACCCAGAGTCGGGGCAGAGTGAGTTACCAGGCAGACTTTTCTAGCAAGTTAAAGTGGCTGAGGGTGATGGGGGATGTGGGAGTCAAAGGTGAGCAGGGGACACCACTTGGCTCAAGCTCTACATTTCTTAAAAGATCTCAAATCTGAGCTATAGACCTTATCTCCAAATGAGGCTGGATACATTTGTAAGGATTCCATGATGAAACTCCAGACAGATATTTATTACATAATTATCTTGAAATCCCCAAACAGATTTCTACCAAGTATGGCCTTTGGGTTTGGTTTTAATAATACCAATAAAATAATACCAGATAAAATAGAAGTGACCTAGATATCTTGAGTATATTGTACTTGAGAGAAAAACCTCTGAAGCTGGAATGTACTGAGTTCAAATCCTGGCCTGACTCTGTGTTGACTGCCCTTGGCTGAGTAGCAGCACAACTTTTCATCTGTGAGGTGTAGACAATTTAGTATGTGCCTCTGAGAGCTGTTGTCAGGATTAAATAAATTTATGCATGAAAAATGCTTAGCAAATTGCTGAATACATTTAAAGGATCAATGAATGTTAGCTCTTTTTTTTTTTTACTTATAAATAGAGAAGGAAAAGAGACTTAACTCTTAGCATCCCTTTATATTAAGTTAAATAGTTTTGTTATTAGGAATCAAAAGTTTATGCTATTACAGGTCCTATTATAAAGTCATATTCTGAGTTCATATCACTGCTTACTTTCCTTAAGTGCTATGGGTATTCAGAAAAGAAAAAAAAAAACCACAATGGTCTGAGCTGGAAAAATCAAGAAGTCTTCAGGGAAGAGGCAGCCCTTGAGAATTTAGCCTGGATGGACAATTGTGCCTGGTGAGAAAACAATTAAAGCTTTTTTTTTTTTTTTTCTTAATGGTACCAGAGATTGAACCCAGATATGCTTTACCACTGAGCTACATCCCCAGCCCTTTTTTAATTATTTATTTTTATTTTAAGACACAGTCTTGCTAAATTGCTGAGGCCAGCCTCAAACTTGCAATTCTCCTGCCTCAATATCAGTTCTGGGATTGTAGGCT